TGTGCACCTCTATGACCCAACGAGCTACACAGGATGGCTTTTATCAAGCCGCAATTCTAATCATGCCTGGAAGGTCGAAGGGTAGAGGGCAGACGAAGTTCAATCTCCTGGTCCTCCAGATTGGGGGTTCGGCTCGAGTTAGCGTCTCAGTCAGTAAAACGGCAGAGGAGTAATTGATCCAAGTAAATGAGCCTCCACTTTGCATCACCCGCTGCATTGCGGTTAGGTTCTTGTCCGAACTAAGGGTTTTGGATGAGAACCCTGATCGTTCTCCTGCTTAGTGACTGGACACACTAGCAGTACCCGCCCATCAAAACCAATGCATACACAAACTAAAAATGATTCCATACTGCATCGGTCGTCGCGCAGGATAATCAGGATCGCGCTTCCCATTGCATTGAGCGGGATGGTTAGTGAGAAGTGGGCTACGGCTCAGATATCCCAACCTTTGTGTAACTCTTTGTCTTCCGNCTTTACCCCTTCTACCGACCTGTAATAGTCCCTCAAGCAACTTGGATGTCGCCCGCCCAAGGTCGTTGCCAAATAACACTGTAAGTAATACATCACGAAATGGATTGTAGATTCTGGAGAAAATTAAGAAAATACATCGCTTCTCGGAGACTATGAATTCCGATGAAAAAATGCGAAGGAGATCGTTTTGTCAGCAAATACAGTTATGTCCAGAACGCCACGTAACCAAGCCTGATAGGTTTCCTTGGTAAAGGACCCACGTTTCATTGTATACTTAATTATACCATGCTCTGACATGCTCCAAGAATGTGGAAATTCCGCGCCCTGTTACTTGCATGAACGCAGCGAGCTTTCTCTCCTCGTAGGGAGTGACCACGTGTTCTAGTGCAAAATAGGTTGAAATTTCCTAAGATTCATGCTTAGCATTTGTATGCTGACTTACTTTCATCGATTCATTCAATGTTTTTTTTCCTTCATTAATACATGACTGTATTTGCTGACAAAACGATCTCCTTCGCATTTTTTTCATCGGAATTCATAGTCTCCGAGAAGGGGTATATTTTCTTCAATGTGACGAGTCGCCCATCCAAATAATTGCTGACTGCTCTGCAACAGACCTCTCTTCCGTATTCCGCCTTTAGCCTCAGTCGCAATGTCTCCAAAGGGACCGTACAGTCCTCGCTGACCCATTCAACCAACTGATTTATTTCTTCTTCGCACTAACTCTTCCTCTTGTATCCGACATGTGGGCCATTTATTATGTTGTTTATCGAATATCCAATGGTAAGCTGGCCCAGTGTCATCATCGCTTGAGCATTTTCCATTCTGAATTTCCCGCATGGCGTATCGTTCGACAACTTATTCTCCTGTGATGACTCTCTACCAAGCCGGTCAGACAAGACCGATCAGGTTTATTTATCGATCAATCCGAGAGTTCAGCCACAACACGGGACCGGTGCTTGCTCCTTTTTCATAGTATGTGATGTCAGTCGTACACATTGCGCACAAGACTCTATGCTGTCCCAGTTGTCACGCGGCCGATCCTAACTCCCGGTCTCTTTCAGTGCTGTGCTGAACATTG